AGCTGGAGGTGCTGGAGCTGGAGACCTTGGAGTTAGAGGCCTTACCGCTGGAGGCAATGGAGCTGGAGCTGCTGGAGCTACTAGTCCAGGAGGTGCTGGAGTTACTGCTAGAGCTGGAGGCCCCAGAGGTGCTGGTGTTGCTGGTCCTAGAGGTGCTCGTCCTAGAGATACTGGAGCTGCCAGAGGTGGTGGTGTTGGGGACCCTAGAGTTGGAGGTACTAGAGTTGGAGACCGTGGAGCTGGAGGCACTAGCACTGGAGGCGCTGGAGATGGAGGAGCTGGAGCTGGAGGCGCTGGAGCTGGAGGCACTGGAGCTGGAGGCCCTGGAGCTGGAGGCGCTGGCGCTGGAGGCGCTGGAGCTGAAGGCACTGGAGATGGAGACCCTGGAGCTAGAGGCGCTGGGCTTGGAGATCCTGGTGTCAAATGTTGTAACCAAATATATACATATATATCACAGTACAAGCAAAGTCACGCAGTGAGCAAGTGAGGCAAAGTAGGCACAAGGCCTGAAACAATACAGAAACGCTGATGATTACTAGACTGAAGTGCCTTGGTGAATATATCAGCAGTGTTGGCCCAAGTGGCCACGTGAGTAAGATGAAGCTGACCACGCTGCTGCAACTCTCAAGCAAGAAAGTAACGCAGAGCGATGTTCTTCGTTCTGTGCTCCAAACTGTGCTCCTGACACAAGGCAATCATGGCCTTGTTGTCTACGTACAGGATTGGAGAAGAACAAGGCCGCTCTCCCAAGTCGGTCAACAGGTAGGTGAGCCAGTGTAACTTCTGTGCCGCCATGGCCCCTGCGTAGATCTCAGCCTCACAACTAGAACGGAGAACAGAAGACGAGTGGGTAGACCGCCAAGAAACAGAGCCGGAGCCAAGGCTGAAATTGTAACCCTGTGACGACCGCTGCGTAGCCAAGTCGTCAACCCAAGAAGCGTCTGCGTGTCTAGTGAGGACAACTGGACCCCGTCCTCCAAGCACGAGCCCCATGCCCGAAGTACTGCACAAGCAACGCAACACCCTCTTAGCGGCCTCTTAGTGCTCTGGTCGGTGTCTCTTGGGCGCAACGTAGTGTGCCATGATGCTAAGTGGGTAGGCAAGGTTAGGTCGAGTGCAGGTCATCAGGTACATGAGGCAGCCCACAAGCTTTGGATACGGGCCACTCGGCTCTACGGAATCGTCCGAAGATGGAGCTGAGAGAGAGTGACCGGTAGGTAGAGGAGTGGACTGTGGCGAGGAGTACCGGAAGCCGAAGCGCTGAAGGACCTGGTGCACCATGTGTGACTGAGTCAGGGTGATGGTGCACCGTGCTCTGTCCCGGGTGATCTGCAAGCCAAGATAGCTGCGCAGCTCACCCAGGTCAGGGCAGGTGTGTCTCTTCTGCAGCTCTGAGTTCACAAGGGCCAGTGCCTTAGTGTCAGCAGTGGCAAAGACGAGGTCGCCGACGTACACGATGACGTAGAACAACAGCAGCGAAGTGTCGGTGCGCAAAAACAGCGACGGGTCAGCAGTCGAAGGAGCAAACCCAAGAGCCGCAAGCGTCGTCCTCAGTGTGTCGTGCCACTCGCGAGGTGCTTGGCGGAGACCGTAGACTGGCCGCCGGAGGCTCCACTGGGTACCTGCAGGAAACGACCCAGTGAAGCCAGGTGGGCGGCGCAGCTAGATCTCCTCGTGCAGGCTGCCTTGTAAAAATTTGTGCTAAAGTCAAGAGAGTGCAGCTCGTAGTCACGCTGAGTGGCGACGTGCAGCAGAACTCGAAGAGTGGTCATCTTCGGGGTAGGGGAGAAGGTATGGAAGTAGTCAACTCCCTGTCGCTGACTGAAGCCTCGTGCAACGTAACGAGCCTTGAAGACAGGCGGAGAACCCGGCGACCGCTTCACCCTGAAAATCCACATGTCATCGACTATGTTCGCCCCAGAAGGGGGAACTGCGTCGACGTAGGTGCCTATGGACTTCGAGGATGCCATCTCAGCGTACATGGTTGTCTGGCACTGAGAGGAGTAGGACCCGTAATCGCCTCTGCGTAAGAGCGTGGGGTCGGGATGTCTGGTGCATCAGGGTCTCCCTCAGGTGCAAGCAGCATGGCCATGAGATGAGGTACAGCAGCTGCAAGACACTCAAAGTCCTCCTGCCTGTCCTCAATGACGTCCGTGCCAAGAGCACACTCACCCCCGATGGACGGAGAACAGTCAGACTCAGACTTAGCAACAAGACTAGTGGCGTAGTCGAGACGACAGGCGGCAGCAAAGTCAACAAGCTCAGCATCTAGGGCAGACGCAGCAGTGGACTCAAACGAAGGGCCCGTGACAATAGTGGCAAGAAGACGTGTGACAGTAGGACTGGCAGCACGAACTAAGTCAAACTCAGGGTCCGGACCGTCAGCAAGAGAGGACGCAGGAGGAGACGGCAGGGGAACTTGCAGTGGAACAGAGGAAGGACGAAGTGCCATTATGTGAGTGCCAGGTACAGGAGGAGGACGCGGACGAGGAACACGATGACCAATGCGAACAGCGCGAACAGGTGAGGCAGGACGAGACGCAGGCTCACGACGCTCTGTAAGAGAGTCTGTCTGCTCAGTGTAAGGAGAAGGAGCAGGCAGTGGGGAGTCTGGCTGTAACTCTGGCTGCGACTGGTGAGGCGGTGGATATAGTGAGCTAGGAGTAAGGCCAGTAGAAGACGGGAGACTAAGAACCTGGCGAAGGACCGAGTCAGGTGGCGGCAGAGACGACGGCGGCGGCGGAACGAAAAACGGGCGCCGCTGCACAGTGCCTCCTGCGCCAGGATTGCCAGCTCCAGCACCCCCAGCGCCAGCACCTCCAGCTTTAGGGTCTCCAACTCCAGTGCCTCCAGCTCCAGCGCCTCCAGCGCTAGTGCCTCCAGCTCCAGCTCCAGTGCCTCCAGCTCCAACTCCTCCAGCTCCATGGTCTCCACCTCTAGCGCCTCCAGCTCCAGCTCCACCAGCTCCAGCGCGTCCAGCGCCTGTGCCTCCAGCTCCAGGGTCTCCAGCTCCAGCGCCTCCAACACCACCAGCTACAGCATCTTTAGTACCTCTAGTACGAGCACCTCTAGGACCACCAGCTCCAGCACCTCCGGGACTAGAAGCTCCAGCACCTCCAGCTTCAGTGCCTCCAGCCCTAGGACCTCCAGCGCCAGTGCCTCCAGCTCCAGTGCCTCCAGCGCCAGGGTCTCCAGCTCCAGCGCCTCCAACACCGCCAGCTCCAGTACCACCAGTACGAGCACCTCCAGGACCAGCAGCTCGATCACCTTCGGTACCTCCAGCTCCAGCAGAAACTCCAGCACCTCCAAGACTAGTAGCTCCAGCACCTCCAGCTCCAGTGCCTCCAGCGGCCGAGCCTCCAGCTCCTTCAGCGCCACTCCTAACGAGTGTGCGCTGAGCAAACCACTCGCGCAGCTGCTGCGGTGAGAGAGGCTACCTGAGTCTACAGCGACCTCGACAAACACAGCCAGGGGGAGTGGGTCTACCCGAGACACACCTAAGGGATCAGGACCCTGAGGGGGGAGGGGGTCTACCGGAGGGGGGCCTGGAGCGAGGAAGAGCGGCGGGGGGGGGGGAGAGGGGCAGTGCGGTAGGGGAAGAGATGGTAAAAGGGAACCGACTCGTCAAACATGACGTCCTTAGAGGGGCGGACACGGCGCGAGGTGGGGTGGTAAAACTGCCAGCCAGGCGCATCAGGGGGAAAGCCAAGGAAGACGCAGGGAATAGCGCGGGAGGAGATCTTGCCCGCGGAAGTATCGCGGACAAAGGCACGAGAGCCCCAGACCTTCTTTGCCAACCTTCCTCGTCCAACGCAGTGTAGGCAAAGTCTTCGGCAAGGAGACACAGGGCCAGAGGTTGAGCTGATGCGCAGCGTACCAGACCGAAAACGGCCACAGAAAATAGGGAGCACCCGCATGGATCATGGAGGTACGAGCCACCTCCATGACTAAGCCAATGCGGTGCTCAGCAACCTCATTTTGCTGCAGGGAGGCCGGAAGCGTGAACGACTGGAGAATGCCCTCCCCACGACAAAAGTCCCGCAAGAGGTCGGAGGAGAACTCACCACCTCTGTCAGAGTGCAGACGCAGGACAGGAAGGTCCTCGCGGAACCTCTCACGGAGCTAGAGACGGACTGCGCGGATCCAAGGGATCAAGACATCAGGGACCTCACCCTTGCTGCGCAAGGGGAAGACCATGGTGTAACGTGTGTAGTCGTCAACAACCAGCAGGAAGTAGCGCTCGTGGTCCTGTCCACTGACGTGGGCTAGGCCCCACACGTCCATGTGGAGAATCTGCAGGGGAGCAGTCGTCGGGGGAAACGAGGAGGAGTGAGGAGCGGCGCGCTGCCGCCCCTCGACGCAAGGAAGGCAGGGCGGGGTAGGCGAGGGCGGGAGGGGAGGCAGAGACATGGGAAGACCAGAAACAAGGAGGCGGGAGTGCATGCCACGAAGGCGTGGCAGGGAGGGGTGACCAAGGCGGTGGTGCCACAGGAGAGTCTGGTGCGACAGAAGGCGACACGAGCAGAGGGCTGCTACCGGACCTGATGCGGACACCTGAGCAGAAGCATCTACCTGAGGAGGCTCAGTAGTCACTGTGTACAGTCTCGACCCAGGCCGACGGGTAAACGTGGTCAGGTGACGGCCCGTCCGTGTATATGTGCAGATTGACTCACAGTGACCCCTAGGAGTGGTGGTATTGACTATCGCATCCTGGAGAGCAGCGGTACTCACCAAGTTCGTAGAGAACGAGGGGAGCTGAAGACCTGAGAGTGAGCTCGACGGAACCGCCGAACACGGGAGTACAGTGGAGGAACGGGCAAGAACTGGGCCCCCTGAAGGGTCAGCCAGTCTGACTAGAACATGTTCAGGGAGTGGAGTGAGAGTGGTACTGTCGCGAAACAAACAGCGGGAAGCACTTGAGTCAAGTGTGAAGGTGTGCAAGGCCTTAGCAGGCGCAGTACCAGGGAGAGCAGACTCACTAGCACCTAGAGCAGCAGCCTCTATACCTGGGTCAGGCGGCATGGGGCGAACACTACCCCTAGACGCCCCGCGCTGAGCAAACCACTCACGAAGCTGCTGGGGCATAGGGGTCTCGCTCCGACGCTGATGCTGCTGTCTTTGGCCACCGCCAGAACCTCCCCTCTGAGCAGCTCCACCCTGACTGCCACCACTGCCGCCTCCACCACTCCCACTGCCGCCACCACCGCCACCCCCACCCCCACCGCTGCCACCACCGCCACCACCGAAGCCCCCACTCCCGCCACCACTCCCACCGCTGCCACCACCTCCGCCACCTCTACTGCCTCCATTGCCTCCACCACCACCACCCCCGCTTCCGCCGCCACCATTCTTGCCACCCTTGCCCTTGCTGCTGTGGCGCTTCCCACTAAGAGCAAAAGTAGTCCCGACATCCTTAGTACTAAGGATGTCAACAGCAGCAGCAGAAGTGTAGGAGGGGGCAAGGGGGGAGGGGAACACCCCTCAAAGAAGGGTGTGCAAGGAGTGCCACGAGCAGCACCTAAAGCGATTACGCTAGTCTCAGCTACAAGGAGGTGCTTCTCGAGCAGGTTGACAGTGAGGTCTGTGGGGTCAAGTGCGAGAAAGTGGTCCCTGACTAAGCGAAGAGAGTCAGGGAGGCGGGTGACTATGAAGTAGAGAGTGATGTACATCGGGGGGGGTTCCTGTCTAGGAAGTCGGTTGGGAGGGCAGCGCGGTAGCGAGTGTCGCTAGTGCAAAGGTGGGTAACGAGGTCCTCGATTGTGGCAAAGGCTTACATCTCGGGAAACGCGTAGGGCAGTATAATGCGGTCGAGAGCAGCAGTGGAAGGGGAAGAGTAACAAGCGACTACAGCGTCGTACATGGTCTTAGCAGTCTTGTGCTGGCCAAAGTGAGTGCGTTCGGCTAACGACAGGTGGTTGCGAACGGCTAAGCGAGCAGTAGCGTCACGGGTAAGCCAGTGTGAGCGAGTCGCACTGTCAGCTGTGGCGGGAGGGGCAAGAGAGGCTCCAGACGTGTGGTCAAACAACGAAATGCTGTCTCTAGAATGGCTCGGTAGGTACAGCTGTAAGTCGTCGAGCCATGTATCGAACTGGATCGGACGGCCCTCATGATCGAAGGTGAGTACACTGAGAGAAGCCACAGCGGGCAGAGCAGGGTGGCGCACGACCAGCAGGGCAGCACGCAGGCAGGGCGGCGCGCGAGCACTAAGGAAGCGCGCAGGGCAGGGAGAGGCGGCGCACGGCTAGGGAAGAGTGGCGCGCGGCCAGGGCAGGGCAAGGCGGCGGCCAGCAGGGCAGCGCGTGGGCAGGGCAGTGCGGTGCGGCTGCCAACACAGCGGCGCGCGGGCAGCAGGGCAGCTCGCGGGCAGCAAGGCGTCGGCCAGCAGGGCGGCGCACTGCAGGGCGGGCAGCAGCAGGGCGGCGCGGGCAGGGCGGTACGGGCAGCGGTGCGGCTGCCAGCAGGGCGGCACGCTGGCAGCAGGGCGCCGGCCAGCAGGGCTGCGCGCAGCAGGGCGGGCAGCAGCAGGGCGGCGCGAGCAGCAGGGCGGCGCGCAGCAGGGCGGTGTGGGCAGCAGGGCGGCTCAGCGCGGGCAGGGCAGGGCGATGCGCAGGCAGGGCAGGGCGGCGCGACTGCCAGCAATGCGGCGCGCGGGCAGCAGGGCGACTTCATGATCCACCATGAGCTTGCTTTGCTTTTTCTTGGCTGGTCTTGTGACCACTTGTTCTCCCCGACTTTGCCTATGGGGGTGTGTCAAAATGTTATAATGCTTATATTGTGTAGGCTGTAGTGGGGTAACCCGTAAGGGGTACAACTCAATTAGGGTTAGTACTTTCTGCTCAATGCATTCATTCTCGTTCAGCATTATGACAAACCAATCCGCACACCGATTGCGACTGACGATCGATTGTCTACTTTCACCGCGTCCTTACCTTTACCTACCCTCTCACCCTCCTCTTTTGCATTTTTTTCTAAATCCCTTCTATATGTTCCTATGTATGGTCATCAGGCTATTCTAAACCTCGAAACCGGGCCCCATCTCGCTTCCGCTCCCCATCCAAGCCAGAATGCAGTGCACCCCACCCCACCACCACCGCCACGAATTGCGGCTGCCACCACAATCACCCCGTCAAGTCCAGCTCCATCGCGCCAGTGCAGCCACTCATGAGTCTTTCCACCTCGTCCTTGCCGCCCTCGAGCATTCGCATCGCATGTGCGGCAACGTCCGTCAGCATCGCTGCCAGCAAGACCATAATTCCCTCCCACTGCACGCATGCCTTGCAGACTAGTCGCAGATTAATGCCGTCCGTATCGCGCCCCCAGCGGCAGCCATGACGCCCTCTCTCCTCCGCCTTGCTCCGCGATCCACGCCGACCGCTTCCAACCACCCTGCCCGATCCCACGCGCCTTCTCGCGCAGCGCGTGGCGGAAGTTCCACGTCAGCGTCGCGCACGTGGCTGCGGCGCTCCATCCCCGCGTCGTGCGTCGCGCTGCTCCTGCTGCTGACGGCGTCGCTGCTGCGCGCTCGAATTCGCCCCCAGTCGCCGGAATTCGGCGGATGTGCGGTCACGAGTGACGGGGAGTGCAGTGGGTTTGGTGGGAGCAGCGAGGGGGAGCGGCCGCTGAGGGTGTATATGGTACTGCTGCCGGCACCGTACAACGTCGACCTCATCCCGCTCGCGCAGGTGACTCGCGCCCCTCGTGACTCCCCTGGCGGTACCCTCTGGCCACCTTCCCCCTGGCACATGTGGTTTGACCCCACACTCCCTTCCCTTGTCACACGCCTCTATTCCCCCCCTCGTTTTCCCTACCCTCTTCTCCCTCCCCCCTGTCCCCATACCCCTCGGCCTTTCCCCCCGCATGTGCCCACTGGAAGGGCCGCAGTCATTGCTGCCACCAGCAGCCCTGCCTCCCGCCTCCCCGCCCTCCCTGCCGTGCACCGTGCCCCTCCACTCGCCCCACGCCGTGCCCCTCTCCTGGCTGCACTCCCCCCCACCCTCCCACCCCTCCTATTCCTCCTCCACCTCCTCCTCGACCCTCCCCCCTGCAGCATCCCCTGCCAGTGGCGGCAGCAGCGGCCCCACCACCCTCTCACCGCACCTGCTGCCGCTCCTCCACACGCCGGACCTGCCAGACCTGCCTGTGCCCCTCTCACCATCACCATCACCGCCAGCAGCAGCAGCATTACCGGAGGCAACAGCAGAAGGAGCAGCGCTGGCGGGGACAGATGGGGCGGTGGATGTGAGCGTGCCATGCTACCCTGACTACCCTTACTACCGCCAGCACGGAGCCGAATACTTTCTCACTCTCTCCCTCCTCTCAGGTACCCCCCTCTCTCTCCTCTCAGGTACCCCCCTCTCTCTCCTCTCAGGTACCCCCCTCTCCTTCCTCACCAGTACCACTGCACGTACACTTACCCTCACTTTCTCTGCTTGCCTCTCACCTTGCTCTTTCTCAACCCGCCACGGTGCCACCTTGCCCCTCACTCTCTCTCCCCTCCGTGCTGCCCTCTCTTCCCCACGACTGTGATGCATCCCTGAGCCCGCCAGGCACGGCAGCAGTGCAGCGCGTGCAGCGAGTGGAGGAGGCAGAAGCCATCTTTCTGCCCTACTGGTCCACACTCGCCTTCTGCACCAACGCCAGGTGCCCGCTGCCCCATTGCCTCCGCCACCACCACCGGCAACAAATCGTACCCCTCTGTTCTGGCTGACCCATCCCTGCAACTGATTCTATCATGTGCTTCTCATCACCCTCACGTCTCTCCTGCATTCTCCCCTCTCCCTTCCCCCCATCCCATCTCATCCCCTCCCCTGGCACGCCAGTGAGATCCTGGACCCCATCATCGCGCGATTCGCCCACCGCCACGCCGCCACACTCGCCAGCAGCGCAGCCAACACCAGTCACGGCAGTGGGGGCAGCAGCGACAGCACAGGCAGCGAGAGCAGTGGAAGACAGGCAGGGCGCATGCCCACCCTGGTGGTGCCGTGTGTGTACCCCCTGGCCATGTTCAACCACTCGCTGCCCCTCGCTGCTGCCATCAAGCTCGCTGTCGATCTGGAGCTGCACTGGTCTCAGGTGAGATGAGATGTATGTGCTTCTGCAGGTGAGACCTGCACGGGGTTCAGGTGAGACCTGCACGGGGTTCAGGTGAGAGATGTGTGATGTTGCATGTGCTGCGGCACGTGCGTGTCAACTGCACTGAACCCACATGTGCACTGACTCAGCTGCCCTTCATGTCTGCTCCGTGTGCTGCCCCCTTTCCATTCAACGCCCTCCTCCATGCTCCTCGCGCTCCTGTGCTGCCTTCCTTCCCATCGTCTGTACCCGAACCACCCCTACCCCTCACAGGCAGCATCATACGTCCGAGATGTGATGGTGCCGTACGTGCCGCTGGTGGCGCCCTTCTCTCACGACCGTGGCTCGTGGGCCTCGCGGCCCCTGCTGCTCTTCTTCCAAGGCACCACCGACCGCTGGGGGTTCAGTGGCCTTGCCTCGTTCGCTCACTCACTCTCACCAGCCATGCACATCCGCCTCTGCAGCACTGCTCGCTCCTCCACCTGCCTGCCTGCCATCCCAGTGCCTCACCACCTCACCAACCCCTCATTCCTCTTCCGTAACCTTCCCTTAATTTCTCATTTCCCCGCCTCCTTCCTCCCCCCTCCCACAGGGCGGCATCATTCGGCAGCAAGTGCAGCGGGAGCTGCAGGGGCAGGCGGGGGTGGAGTTCAGGGTGGGGCGGGCGGAGAACAGCAGCATGACGGCTCAGGCCGGCACCGCCATGCGCCAAGCCAAGTACTGCCTGGTGCCGCGAGGTGAGGCAAGATGCATTGTGAGGGTGTGTTGCTACATGTGCACGAAGGGGACGGAGGGATTGGATTTTGCTGATACCCTTGCTGCCCCTCTCTTTCCCTCGTTGTCCACTCCCACAACCCGTCTTCTTCTCTCTCTTCCTCCTTGTCACCTTCTCCCCCTACCACTACCACTACCCCTCCCCCTCACAGGTGACACCTCGTCCAGCTGTCGTCTGTTTGACGCCATACTATCAGGCTGCATCCCAGTGATCATCAGCGATGCACTCGACCCGCCCTTTTAGGACGCCATTGGCTACACCGCCTTCGCGCTGCTCCTACCCACCCCTCTCCCTCCCCCCGTCTCCTCCTCGCAGGCGACACCTCGTCCAGCTGTCGTCTGTTTGACGCCATACTATCAGGCTGCATCCCAGTGATAATCAGCGATGCACTCGACCCGCCCTTTGAGGACGTCATCGACTACTCCGCCTTCTCGCTGCTCCTCCCCGCCGCCCTCGCTGTGCGCCCGGGGTACATCCTAGGCGTGCTGCATACACAGACAGAGGCCGTGTGGCGGCAGCAGTGGGTGGCCATGCGGAAGGTGAGAGGCGAGATGGGGGGGGGGATCGTGCGGGCGACAGAGGCTGTGTGGCGACAGCAGTTGGAGGCAGTGCGGAAGGTGATAGGCGAGAGGGGAGCGTGGTTGGTGTGATGGGGTGCTTGCTGGGTGTGCGAAGGGTTCCTTATGCTGGTACTATCTGTGAGGGGCAGTACGAGAGGTGGTTGAGGGGAACGTGTGCAGCTTTTTTAGAGCTGCTCCGTGGGTGTGTGCGGTGCATGTGCCACCATTCGCAGCAGCAGCGCACTCACACGCGCCCGTGCTGGCTGGTACTGATGCATCATGCAGTGCTGCCAGTGCTGTGGTTGGACGAACCACTGCATGGCATGAGGGCACCCCAACCACCCTGCTGCGCCTCATGCTGTCTCTTTACCATCCCACCACACATCCCTGCCTCACAGGTGACGCATCACTTCATCTACTCCTTCCCCCCACGCCCCAGTGGAGCAGAGGACATGGTGTGGCGGGCCGTGGCGCGGCGGGTGAGGAGGGAGTTCTCTCCGCGCTACCGCAACAGGCGGGGCCGCATTCTGCTGGCGCAGCTGGCACAGGCAGGGCTCAACGCGTCTCATCTCGAACAGCCCTTGCCCAACCGGCCCCCTGTGACCTTCGATGTAACACTCGACGATGAAACAAACTAAACATAAGCCTTCTCAGAAACAGCAATTCCACGGCATTATTACTGTTGGAAATCCAAATACAGTATAACGAATACTGTATACTGGTATGCTGTTCGGTTTTAGTGTAGTCCTCGTTATAAGCCTCTAGGTCCTACAATAATTGTCACAATTAGTGTAGGGCCAGAATTATTGGAGTTAAGCATTATTGGAGGGTAGAGGGTAGAATAACTGGTACCGTAAGCCCCCGGATATAAGCGCAGGCCTCGGATAAGCGCCGGCGCTTATAAAAGGATGAGGGCGCTTATATCCGGTCCTCGATTATAAGCCCACCCCTGAAGGCTTACGGATTATAAGCGCCACCCTCTGTTTGTTTTTTCTATAATTGTACTGAAATCGTTGTAATGAAACTCACATTTTCCATTCCCACATTATTGAATTTTGATGCCCTTCACCTCGCTCGGCTCATTGCCTGCGCGTCCAGTTAGAATGAGCTGTCGGCAGCGTAAGTTGACTCATTCTGACTGTGTGTGTTGGCAGGGAATCATTCCCTGCCAACTGGCACGAGATTCTCAATTCGAGCCTTGTATAGTTTCGACACGATTCAAATTGCAAGAACGTGATCTACAATTTGGTGTAAGAAATACGCATTTCATAAATGGCATTATATAAGCGCCGGCGCTTATAAAAATCCTCGATTATAAGCGCACCCCCTAAAAAACATTGCTTTTTTATACCCCCAGGGGCGCTTCTATCCGGGGGCTTACGGTACACCATTATTGGTGTGAATGGACCATTATGGGAGGGGTAGATGGATGCATAAATACCTTGCTGTATCACTTGTTCATCATCATTCTACTTTTCAATTACCGTCATACCCCGGATATAAGCGCCACCCGCGGATAAGCGCCTGGCGCTTTTAATTGGCGTGTGGCGCTTATATCCGGTGCTCGATTATAAGCGCATACCTAAAAGGCTTACGGATTATAACCGCATACCTGTGCCTTACATTTTATAACCGCCACCCAGTTTTTTTTTTTTTTTTTTTTTTTTTTTTTTTTTTTTTTCATTTGAAGACCTTTTACATAATTAGTATACTAAACATCATGTTAATTACTCTACAACTAGTTAATCTACTCCTACCTACGAGCCTCACACAGGCTTCACCATTTTCTACACTAGTTAATCTACCCTACTCTAATCATCAGCTGCAGTGGGGTCATCTGGGTCGGCCTCAGAGTCCGACTCAGGTTCCTCTACGTTGTTGTAGAAGAAACCGTGTGCTGCAATTTCATCATCCATGTCGACCTCCTCGCCCTCGAGCTCATTTCGCCTGTGTTGCAGGCAGAGCTTGTCCTGGGACCCATCCAGGGCGTTGCTGATGCCGCAGATGAGGAACGCCCGTTGAATGAGCTCCTTGGGCACGGACTTCCAGGCCGCCGAGATCCACTTGAGCGTCAGCTCGACAGGAGGCTTCTTGATGTTGCCTGCCACGCAAATCCAGAAACCGGGTCAGCACGGGTTAAAGAAATAAAAACATAAACAGAAGAGCTGCACCTCTCACCTTTCTTCGTCAAGGTGTCGACCCCCTCACGCTCAAACCACTCCTGGTAGAGCTGGCGAACGGCGGCCTTGAAGGAGCGGTTAACCGCGACGTCGAGGGGTTGAATCTCCGAGGTGCAGCCAGCAGGGATAACCGCAGGGACCAGGTTCAGCTCGCCAAACTTCTTCTTCACCTCCGGGGTCAGGTGCCCGCGGTACGAATCGAGGACGAGCAGAGCTTTGCGGGGGCGGACTCCGAACTTGGGGTTGATGTACGGCTTCACCGCCCCGTCCAGCCACTCGATGACACCGTCCGCGTCCATCCACCCGTTGGGATGGACCCCCACGTGGATATATGCACAGCAACAAAACCACGATGTTAGTTAAATTTTTTAACTGACATCGACATGCCACCGCGAGCATCACTGTAACCCGCTCTTTCTGGTAGCCGCCGCTGCGGACGAGCACGGAGCGCGAGCCAACCTCTTCAACGGTGCGTTTGGATGGCATCTCGAGCCAGAGGGGCGTCTGGTCTGCGTTTAGAATCCACGGCAGGTCGATCGTGTACTGCCGGCGGGAGTGACGCACGTACGTCCAGAAGTTCTTGACATCAGTCTCGCAGTCTGGGACACGGGATGGGAGGAACAGAAAGCACAAACACAGAGTGAGAGCCGTGAATAGACAGGAACAGACAAACAACAATACCACCAAATAACAACTCACTGGACGAGAGCTTCTGGCCGACCCAGGTCTTCGCTCTGGTCGTCAGGTTCCAGCGGCGGCGAAAGCGCTGAGTCCACCGCTGAGAGCCGGCCCACTTTTCACCTGGGTGTAACTCTTTCATCACCTCGTGCGACCACTTCTGCAGTCGTGCGATCGAGACGGCGAGGCACTTCTTGCGGTGGGCGAGAAACCTCCGGTACACCTCCGCTTCCATGTCGCGATACCACGAGCTCCTTCCGCGGCCGTGCAGGCGACAGCGTGCACCGTGCGCGCCCTCAAGCTCACCCTTGCGGTTCTTCCACTCCGTGAGGCACCTTCGGGAGATGCCGGATTCGCGAGACATGCGCCGCACACTCATCTCTCCGGCTTCGAGCTTCAGAAACCATTGCAGCTTCTCATGCGAGGTGTAGGAATTGCGCCTGTGCTTTGTCGGCTTGTGCCTGGGGGAGGGAGGACGGGCATCACGATTATCGCGAGATGGGTGGGGCCTTTTTTTATTCGGAGGGGGAAAGGAGGGAATTGGAAGGTGCTCGGAGAGACCGTCAGCAGCCCAGAACTCCACGTCGTCGTCCGCACCGGTAGCGGATTCTGTCAGAGGTCCACTGGTGATCCCCGATTGATCCTAGGGAAGGGTTACATGCTCGTTGTCCTGGGGGGTTATGGGCGCACTGACCCGCTACTTAACAAGCCCTTTTATCCCAATGGTCTAGTGGTTGGGATTCTGACATGGTATCAGAGCGAAGGTCTCGGGTTCGAATCCCAGTGTGTGCACTTCGGGCATCCCAGTGCGGGGGGGTGTCAGAGGTCCACTGGTGATCCCCGATTGATCCTAGGGAAGGGTTACAGGCTCGTTGTCCTGGGGGGTTATGGGCGCACTGACCCGCTACTTAACAAGCCCTTTTATCCCAATGGTCTAGTGGTTGGGATTCTGACAGATTCGTCCAACGGGCAATCAGCAGGCGCTCCCCATCGTGGCTCCGGTGCGGAGGAAGATCCTTCGCCGCCGCTGCGTTCAGGCTCGGACAGGAAGGCGTCGAACGCCGAGTAGCCAGGGGGGAGGAGAAGCTGCATAACCCCCTGTCGCGGAACACCAACAGCAGGCGGGACGGGAGGGGCCGGAGGAACGGGAGGAATAGGAGGCGCCGGGGGAGCGGGAAGGGTAGGAGGCGTAGGAGGCGTGGGAGGAACGGGAGGCACTACTGGTTGTGGTGGAGGGACGGGCGCAGGGCGCGTCTGCCATTGAGAGTAGTCACGAGTGTCTCTGCGGGTATTTTCTCTAGCAGCAGGTTGGCGGCGGAACAAGAAATGCGTGCCTGGAAGGCCCGCCATGGCCACGGCAGGCCAAACGAACGAAGAAAACTGAACCAAAAGTTGGGAATGAGGGCCGTATGAAGCCCTCGCCCGAGACCCCTTCAGTTTCGCGGCCCGGCCTCCCCTGCGGGGAAAGTGTGGCCACAGTCAAGATTCCCCGCAGAGGAGCTGAAAGGGACAGCTCTTTGCCTCGGTGGCAGGGAATCTTGCTGTTGATGGGCACGTCGTGGCTGAACCACGACGTGCCCACGATCGTATGCAACCCTGATTGGGCCGCTGTGATGCGAAGTACGTGTGCCCTGGCATGGGCCAGGTTCACGTTCGATGAACCTGGCCTGGCCAACAAGGCGTGGAAGATGTGATGCCACGCCTTGTTGGCCGTTTCACGCGCAAAGCATGCACAGAGTCGAACGTTCTCGACTCAGGTGAATCCGCCTTTGAGAATGCTTCGATTTGGTATATTTAAAAACAAATTTCATTTTTGACATAACATAAACGCCGGCGCTTATAATTTTACTATATTATAAGCCCACCCCCTAAAAAAAACATGTTTTATTAGTGCCCCCCATGGGGGTATATCCGGGGTATGACGGTATCAATGCAAGATTTCTATCTTGTTCTTTTCTACAAACAAGTTTCTGCTACGCTGGCACTATGCCTTTCTAGCATGGTATCAGAGCTACTCTAGGGGGCATGCTGCCAAAACTGGTTCAGGAATTTATTGGCATTCACTTCGGATAGGTACCTGCATACACTCAGAGTACCGGACACCTAGTATACGCTTTCGTACACGTGGTCTTCACGTCCGAAGTAATCTTGCGCTTGTAGCGTACACCTGGTGTACAGTTTTGTCAAGGTCATGGCGCACTTCAATGGCAAAGTGGATACTGGATATGTGGCTTTTGAAGAAGCCATCATGGCTCAGCATGAGCACCTGGAAAACATGATTGCAAGGGCACCACCAACACTCCAAGTTTCGTTGAGGGACAAGTTTGGAATGACAATTGAGCAAAGGGCAACACTCTCTCATGAGTTCAGCAATCCGTCCACCCGTGGACACTCTCATTCAAGCACTCCACGTACTAACCAAACTTGTGCAAATGTTCGTGCAGGAATTGATGGTGAAGGAGAAATGGGCATACCCCAAGAAGGAGAGTCATTCTAAGGGAGGGATGCATCCGTCCAAGGAGAGGGGAGCGCCAATCCCGCACCTCAATCATCCATGCAAAGGGAAGCACGGGGGAGGAATGATAAGTATGGGAGTGAAGTGCATGCAATGGAGCATGGTGGAATGAGAAGTGGATAGATTGCACAGCAGAGTGACGAAAATGGTCAAGCGGGCGCGGAAGGAGTGGGATTCGCCTCCTACACTATTGGTGCTCCCCCACTACGACGACTTGCAACTAACTCCCATCCCATTGGAATTCTTCCCATGCCCAGGTCTCACC